CTTTTTTAAAATTAATTTTTATTTTTTTTAATTACCAAAAAAAGGAAAAAAATACATAAATGTGCTTTAACATAAAAGTGAAAAAATACAGCAACAAAAAAGTTAATATATCATTATAATGGTACACAGTTCCAATTCTATATAGGCTTATCTAATACAAATATTATTCAAGTACATATATATTTGTAATAGAGTTATATGACTATCCTGTTGTTTTTTTTTTATTCAGTGTATTTTGTATAAATGAGTCTCATATTTCATTATATTTGTCCATACAAAGTCTGTGTCTGTAGGCAATCCACTCATAAGTAGCAAGTGTAATCAGGTCTTCAATCCATTGACTAAATGGGACCATACATTTATCTTTCCAATATTGTAATATCAGTCTTTTGGCCATAGTAAAGGCATGGAGAATCCATTTACGTTGTCCAGTTGTACGTATACTTCCTAAGCAATTAAAAATACTTTCGATGGCAATCCCTATGTTTGAGGGCAGGTGGCTGTTATTAGTAGGAATGACTTAATAAAGCCTTTGCATGAAAGTACAATACATATTGCTTTCATTCTTGTACTGCACTTTTGTCTTCAGACACCTTCCAGTGTCTTGTTTGGTGTTATTGCCATAACAATAATAGATACTTCTGTTCTTGCACCTAAAAGGACTCTGGATGCTGTGAGAGCACTTTTTCAAGTGGAGAGCTTGATCAGTGGCTCATTTTTCTGCAAGGGCCAGTCACACTTATTTCTTATTTCCATGGGATGATCAGTTACAGCTGTTTCAACGTTAATGGAAGTCTTGTAGGTTTATGAGTTGTTCAATATAAAATTGTGAAATTCTGTGAAACAAAAAGTATTCTTTTCAGAATAAGACTCAAAACATGTTTACGGTAAGCCAACCTTTCCCACACCCAAGCACTTCCACCATAATGTGGAATGTGCTTCTTTTAAAAAGAATCCTTTTTGTTTTAAAGTATGAAATTATGAGCACTTGAGGTTGGCACCCTTGAATATTGATCCAATAATTCCTTTTTGAATTAAACAAGTTCTTTAGATATGGAGGAAGAGAAATCAGAGGTGGGGTAGAAGCGGGAAGTTCATACGTTTCCATTTCTTCTGATGACAAAGGCCTTTATTAACATTTTTTTCTTGCTATCTCACCCCCTTTTTCTTTTAGTTATGGCAGGGTGTACACAGCAGACCCTTACCATGCCCTTGCCCCTGCTGCTAGCTATGGAGTTGGCGCTGTGGTGAGTATGGTTTTTCCTCTTCTTTGGTGATTTTGTACTTTTACCAAGAGGTATAGGTAGTTCTTGCTTAGCAATGCTAATTGGGACCGGAAACTCCATCATTAAGCAACACGGTCGTAAGTCAAAAACCATGCAACTGCACCACTTAGCAATGATAGTTCCGGAAGTCTCAGTTGCCATTGTTAAGTGAGGACTGTGCAGATCGTTAAGCGAGGACCTCACATGACTTTCAGTTCCTGCCAGCTTCCCCATTGACTTTGCTCATTGGAAGCTGGCAAGGAAGGTTGCAAATCATGATCACATGACACTGGGACACTGTGGTGGCTGTAAGTATGAGGACCAGTCATAACTACCACTTGTTGATAGCCATCATAAATTCGAATGGTCACTGAATGAGTGGTTGTTAAATCAAGACCACCTGTATTGTCTACAATATTGTTGGTTGAGTAGTCTCAGGAGTTGTGTAATAATGCATCCAGCATATTGGTTAATTGCTAAACAATGCTAATGGAGTATTGTAAGAATAGAAAAGTAAGACAAGGATATGAGAAAGTTAATGCCAACCACCAGTCCCATTGTAAAGGGAATGCTATGGTCAAATCACCAAATGGGAAGTGAAATCTGTACATAGTATGATTCCCAGACAAAGGAATGCCATGTACGTTGGCATTCTAACATCAAAGGGACTAATTTATTCTTTTGTTTGTATCCAGAGCCATTGTTCTAGTTTTCGTTTTAAAGAATTACAGATTAAACTAATGAAGCCAATAATTGATTTTAACCTTGGTAATGAGTGTACTGGAACTGAAGGACTTGGAGTTCATTATTTGCAATTGATTTTGTTAGGAAGCTGAGCAATACGACCTGGACCTGGCTACTTTTCTTTTCAGAGTTAAATATTCTCAGATGTTATCATCATCATAGAGCAGTCTGTCTGCAGGTTTTCTGATTTGCATTTAAATAATCTTAGGATAACTCACAGGAGGTTCATGCTTTTTAGTTCGAAGAAACTGGCTAGGAAGAAGAACAGCAAGAACTACAGAGCAGGGACAAAGAGAATTTCTGTTCAAGGAAAACATAGTGAAAAATTGTCATAGTCTAGGATTAATGTTCTTGATCCAGAAGACAAATATGGGACCAGGCTTTCATGTCAGTTGGTGTCTGAGGAAACATTTTTTTAAAAAGATATTCTACAGCTTCTTTAATCATATAGGAGTTTGCATGGGAAAATGGTCTTGCAAGCATCATTCTTTCTTTTAAAAATCTCTAAATTTCCTCTTTTTTTTTGTATTAATTTCTGCAGGCGAGTTTATACCGAGGTGGCTACAGCCGATTTGCCCCTTACTGAAGTGACATGAGCCCCCCCTGCAAGTGGGACAGCCCCCTCCCCCCAGTTCATGAGGCCTGGCTATTGCAATATTTACTAGTAGAGGAACTCTATAGCAAGAAGAGGAGGAAAACAAAAGAAAAAAACAAGAGAAATACTTTTTTATACCTCACTATGTTCTTTAAATATGTATTTTTCCTTTAAATTTCTGCCTTTAATTCTTTTGTTCCAAAGATTGTGCATTTTTTTGATCTTTTTTTTTCAATCGTTTGTTTTTAACTGTGGTAAACATAATGCATTTTTGTGTCTATATATGCATAGTTTATCCTACCAATCACAAAAAAAGAGAGAAATAGTGCTAAGGAGTACTGTTAGGAACCAGTATCATGGAACGTAGTCAGGAATATGTAGATGTTTATTTTTCCTGGGTCTGACACCCAAGAGCCAGGATAGTGAGGAAGACCCCTCTACTTGGGGGCAATGTTGATTGCCTGCAGCTGGAACCTGCATGCTGGTTGGAAACACAGACACCCTCCTCTTTTATCACCAGCTGGCACTCGTGGGCTCAGGACAGCTCCAGAAGCGTCAAGATTTTTATAATTTTCAAGACAAAACTGCTCAAAGCTGCCCAAAGACTTCATCAAATAATGGTTTTAGGGGACAAGACTTGAAATGAATACATACTCCTATCTTTAATTATTATGATCCACTCTACCATGGCTTTACTTTAATCATTCCGTTGCTATGGTTTTCCTCTCTTCCCATCCTCCCCTATTTTCTGGTAGAGTAGCAAGTTTGGGGCAATAACTATAGAATTTGGAGCCATGACGGAAATAATTTTTTTCTTCAGAAAACCAAGAGTTTAAGTGCAAAGTTCTACATATTCTGAGGTTCTGGACTATGATTATGTTGGTTCTGATTATGGGAAAAGCTTGCACCACTGCTACTCTGAGCTCCTGAGCTACAGCTCCACTGTACAAGATCCTCCTTTTTCACCCTGAGGCAGTTAACTTTGCTACAAGTATGTTGTCAAAAAGAAAATGCATGAAAAGAGAAAAATGCATTCCAGACCAGAAAAGTAGGGCAAGCAGTGGGGAGGATGATTTTTTTTTCCTTTTGTCATAACACTAATTTGGAAGCCATGCTTGTTACCATTGGCATCTGGAAACAAAGTATTTCTAAACATAACATAAAAGCAGAATTAATGTTTACTCTGATTTGCAACCAGAGTCTTAACAGTTGCTTGTCTGAAGACAAACTGCTCAGTTGGGTCAATACTGCCAGTTTGGAATTGAGAAAGGGCATCAAGAAAACTGACCCTGGAGATTGTCCCAAGCTGGAATACCTGCCTGGAATACTCTTTCTTGTTCTACAGTTGGGAGTCTCATAAATTGATAATGTATGCAATTTGATGACAAGCAAATAATTTGCCACTAATTATAGAAATCAGAATAGCCGAAGGAATCCTTTTTTTTTCATTCTTTTTTCAACACCTGTAGATGCTCCACAGAATTAACTTAAAGTCCATCGCCTCTTGGACTTTTGGCTAAGATCAGGTGTACCATCCTCTGTATAGTATAAGTTTAAAACCATACCTGTTACAGAAGCACAATTCCCTTTTGTTCCTTAGTCTCCCCAAACTAATGTTGGAGGACTTTTCAACTAGAAATAGGCAGTTGGGTAGATAAAGCCCTCTCTGCTCCTGTTATCTTTTGCTCCACAGTGATGTCAAAATGGGAAAGGAGATCTGAAAACCTTCAGTGATATCAAGTAAGTGCACTGATCCAGTCATACACAACCCATACATCTTTGCTTCCACTGCCATTGTGTTCTCTTGTGGCTTACCAGAGAGCACCTGGATTGCTAGAGAGGGTGCCTGAAGAGGAGATATTAATTAAGGGAGAGAATCTAATAATTCTGCTTATCTGAGCAAGAGGGCACCAAACTATTAGACTGTTGGCCACTTTTTTGCTGTTGTAGTCTTGTTTTTAAGCCAAGCTGCTACAACAGTTTTGTTTTTGTATATGCATATGTGCATATCCAGCTTAAAATGAGGAGAAGAGAACAGGAATATTATTGGTGTCACAAAATTGTGGAAATGAGGAAGGAAGAATGGATTTTCCAGCTGCTTTCATCCCAAGGAGGATGGGATTTGACCTCTGCCTGTGGAACGAGACACATCAGAGTTCCACAGTGAATAACAGCTATGAGAGAAGAGTCTTGTGTTGACATTATGGAAAAAAAGATACAATCTTCAGAGCTCTAACACAGTTCTTTGGTCATTTTTTTTTTTTACAGTTAAAAGATTGAACACTGGATATTGATGAATCTTCCAAGCTGTATAATTTTATCAATTTTTTTTTTTTTTGTGAGTGCTGCTCATAAAAGACAAAGGTAGAGTCCTTTTGCAGATTGTTCCTGGACTCAGTCACCCTGGCTGTCACCGAATTTATATCGCTAGCCTTCCAAGTCATCCTTAGCCAAGACATGTCTCTAGTCTAGTTCCTTAGCTGTAAAATGGAAGAACAAAGCATTGCCTCTTTTGTGAAACACAAATATGTGATGAAGTACACTATTCCCATTAATGCCTTCTCATCTCTCAATTTTTCCAAAGCCTGAACCAACTTTGCGACAAAGCAAAATTTTAGCAAGCTAATGTTTACCTTCTGATTTCTAGAACAGTTGAAACATCTTCACAGGTGGTAATACAAAGTTAAGGCTTTATAAATCCTCTTCCAGACATCTCCAATTACAGATGTCTAGTAGATATGTAGCAGGACACTTCAGCTTTCAAGAATAGAAACCAAATTGGGGTGGATGTGTCTTTTGCTGCAACCCACAGAGCATGCAGGCAGCCTGGGAAATAGAATCTGCCTGTCATTCTCCAGCATGCTGGCATCTGAGGGATCCATGGCAGTGGGGGCTGGGGTGGGGTGGGGTGGGGTAGGGAAGAGGCCTAGGGGTGTGTTGACTGTGTGAACGGGTTTTACAATAGGAAGCAAAAATCCTGACGGACAAGGTGAAGAACCAATGTAACATTTTGTGTGTTTTTATTCTGATATTCTCCTGAGAATTTCAAACATGGTTGTAGTATACACCAGTATACTTGATTTTTTTTGTTGTTGTTGCATTGTTGCATAAAACACTATTTGGGTGATGTTATTGTCTGATCAACCCAACCTTTTCTGCTCCATT